AACAGCAACATGAACTTGAGTTTGTGCAGCCTTATGAATATCTAACCAGGATAATCACATCATGTTGCTGCTGATCTGTTTCATGATGCTGCTGATCTGTTTCTTGATGATGTGTTCATTCGTGCTCATCTGTTCACACAGACTCATGTCCGTGCTGCTGTTCAGCGTATTGTGTTTATTGTTTTTATGCTATTAGTGCTTAGCATATTTTTAGTTGATATTTTTCTTAGTTCATATCTTAGATCTTATTACTGTTTTTCTTTTACATTTTAGTAACTGGGACCCTGCGTACATAATTTTGACCCACCACATGTACCACATGCCGTGCTAATGACAATAAAGAATATCTGTATCTGTATAATACTTTCTGATTCATATATCCATTGTTATTATTATATTATTTTCATTATTTTTAAATCAAATTATTTTTCATTTTCTTATTTGATCAGTTTATTATTATTAATATATCTATTATAGCTGTTAGCAGCACCTTTCTTTGTTTTCTGCATTTACTCAAAAACAGTATGTAGCTTGAATTAACCACCTGTTTCTTCTTTCTAGTGAAGAGAAAGAGAAAAGAGTCCAGTAAAGAAAAGTCTTATTCCATCACTGAATGAACATGAAGAACTGAAGCGGACACAGCAGGAACAACACTTGTGTCTTCTTCTGGATGAAGCCCGTGAGACGAGGGACACACAGATACACAATCATTAGTTGGACGCAGTATTTTTAATTTTTCTACATTTTTCACTTCTTACTTTTCCTATTAAACAATTTTTTTTCTTAAGTGGTGTCCTTGAACATTAAATTTCCTAAACAAATTTAACAATGTTAAGTGCATACAGTGTTTGTTGAAATTCATACTGGAAGTTGAGAAGGGACCAATGCAGACATGTTCCTGTTCTTAGTTTTCTACATTCGCCTTAGAATCTAGCTGTTTTTTGTTACTTTTTTTAGCCATCCTATTTGTTTAAAAAAATAAAATAAATTGTATGACTTTTTATAACTGTTTATTGTTGTTGCTGTTGTCCATTGTTGTCATCTTTCTTTGTTGAAAACAGGTCTCTCTTGTAAATGAGTCCTCGAGGCTCAATGGGATTTAACTGTCTAAATAAAGTTTGAATGAAAATTTGCATTTGATCTTTAATGAATCCTAAGAAAAGATTACCAGAATCTGCTCAACTGTTATTACGTTATAAATTTTGTGGTTCTAGGATGAAGTGAGACAAAAACAGTCAAAAATCAAAAAAGACATTTATCATTTATTGGCCGTACAACTGTGGCCCCTGAGAGATTTGAACCTGCAGAGATTTGAACAACTGATCTGAAGCAAACAGGCAGGTGTTCAACTGAACTGAGCACTCCTGCTGTGTTTGATGGTCTCCTTCTTCACCATCCATCCATCCATCCATCCATCATCTTCTGCTTCCGAGTTGCAGGGGCAGCATCTTTACCAGGGAGGCACAGACATCAACAGCCTCCTCTTTAACTCTTCTAGGACCCCATGGTGTTTGCAGACGAACTGACTATTAAGTAATATCCTGATGTATGCTCAATAATCCAGGTAGAAAAATCTAAAAAAAAGTTAAGTCTGGTCCTCTGGACATTCACAAAACAAAACAAACAATACATTTTATAAAAAAAATAAACATATAAACAAATAAACAATAAATGTTGTTTGTTTTTAAATAGTTTTTTAATGTTTTTAAATTAATGAAAGACAAACCTTTAAAATTTAAGGACAAAATTTAACCTAATTGTTTTCAAGTCTGTATTGTAAAAGCAAGAGGGCAGGAAGAGGAAGAGGGCAGACTACAGGAACCATTTGCGATTCAACCTCAGATGTCGACAAAGTGGCATCATTCCCAAGAGCCTGGAACTAAAATCTTCGGTCAGTGGGCACCGGGCAAGCAAGATCCTTCAGAAGGCACAGACCCAGCTGCTGAATGAACGGGTGAGACAGACCAATTTTACTATTGAGGCCTTGAAGGCCAAAGAAGAGCACATTAAACAGAAACTAACTATGTGTCTAGATCAGACCGCACTTCAGCAAGTGTTGGACTGTACAGATCAGGCACGCTTAGCACAGCATGACAAGTCCAAGACTCGACAACAAAATAAGTTTAACTTACTAATAACTCATCAACACCATGACTATTCCAATAACAACACATTCAGTGTAGGACAACACTCCAGTATTCAATTACATGCCAGGGAGACAGAAAAGTGGGTGAAGAATTTATCTGACAGACAGCTCACCCAGCCGGAGACAGAGATTCTTGCCAGGGGACTGAACTTTGCGGTTGCACCAAGTAGAATTCCTCTGGTGGAGATGATCACAGCCACAGAATCAGCCATCCGCAACAACAAAATGAAAGAGGCTGAAGCAGAACAGCTCAGAATCAAAGTTTCATCCTGCCTCAGCAATGCCAAACCACCACCTTCCAACATCAGTAGAGAGGAGAGGGATGCACTCACCACTCTTAGCAAGGACAATAACATCATCATTCTCCCAGCAGACAAAGGAAGGTGCACAGTGATTTTGAACCAGAAAGACTATCATGAGAAGGTTATGACACTCCTTAGTGACTTAAACACTTATGAACCTCTGAAAAGAGATCCAGGAAGTGGTTACAAGAAGAAATTGATAGATTGCCTGAAAAATTTGGAGCAAGACAAGGCTATTGACCGCTTTCTGTACCACAGACTGTACCCAGGGGAGGCCACACCTAGTCTGTATGGTTTACCTAAAATCCACAAACAAGGTGTACCTTTAAGACCAATTGTTAGCATGATTAACTCTGTCACTTACAATGTTTCCAAATATCTGGCGTCTGTACTCATCCCTTTAGTTGGCAGCTCAGAACACCACATACAGAACACCATGGACTTTGTGGACAAGGTGAGGGATGTCATCATGGAGACTGATGAAACAATGGTCTCTTTTGATGTCACATCACTCTTTACGTGCATTCCTGTTGATGATGCAGTAGAGGTGGTCAGTTTAAAATTAAAATCAGACACCACTCTGAGCAGCAGGATCACACTTTCCACAGAACAACTGTGTCAACTCTTGAAACTGTGCCTGCAGTCAACCTACTTCACATATGGGGAGCAATATTATAGGCAGAAACATGGGTGTGCTATGGGGTCTCCAGTTTCTCCTATTGTTGCCAACCTGTACATGGAGGAGGTAGAAAAGAGAGCCTTGACGTCCTTTTCAGGGACACCACCAAGTCATTGGTTCAGGTATGTTGACGACACCTGGGTTAAAATTAAATCTCAGGAAGTCCAACATTTTACTGACCACATCAACTCTGTGGATAAATACATCAAGTTCACACGAGAAGATG